GCCACATGTGCAAGTGCAACTGATTTAGAAGAAGGTACCTAAACCTGTAACAAATCAAGTTATGCTATTGTTTTTATGGGTCTTGGAAGAAGGGTCAGAGATAAAATCATGGTTAAATAAAGAACACTATAGCCAAGTCTGAATGAAGTACATAGATCAGAAGAATGTGTAGAACACAATGTGAGAATTAAATTGCAGTCTCTTCTCCTTCAAAAATATCAAAAGAGATTTCTCAAAAGAGAAATGCTCTTTTCAAAAAAGCAAAATGTTTTTATAAATTGGATAAAACATTGTAAGTTTAATGGAAAAAAAAGTTTCTGATAATGTGCTTTTAGCCTTAACTGAGCAAACCACCTCAAAAGTCAGAGAAAAAAACCGCCTCATTTATGTTGTCCAAAAAAGTAGTTGTTTTGCTTAGAATATAAGTAGATGACCTCCACTTTGCTTAGTACTTTTTATACAGCTGCTAACTACAAGTTTGGTTTAAGAAAAAAGAGGAAGACAAACTGTACTAACAGAGTCATAGAGTGAAAATTTTTATAGAAAGAATTACAATCTTCTTTCGTAGCAGTGTCTCAGAAAAATGTATATTGAGCTAGGCCTTCTTAATCTGTTTTCTCAAAAATACTCCGGCAGGATAAAGCTGAGTCGCAATATATGGTTGTACTCTCACCGACGAGTGTGACCAGTACAGTATTTTCAAGTTCTGCTGCAAGAATATCTTACAGAGATCGTATTGCAATTAAAAGAAATATGAAATAAAAGCATAGGGCAGAAAACTTTGTATTAAGATTTAAATAACAGGAGTAAAAGTCAAACAGGTACTCTTGCTCTGTAACTGCAGAGGGAGTGAAGAAGGCTCCACGATGCTATAGATGTTTTCCATTCACTAGGACAGGGTGAATATAAGGGAGGGAGAAAGGTTTAACCATGTGCAGAAAGGAACCTGTGAGCCCACCAGAAACTCAGCTCCTTATTCCTGCTTGTTTCCCGCTCTTTGGCAGTATGTTTACTTCAGCATGCCTTTCTCTTCCCTCCCTACAAAGCTCTAAGATTCATGTTAAACCTGGCAGTAGGAGGCATCCCTGCACAAAGGGGCAATAGTCAGCTGCAATTCCAACAGCTCTGTCTAACAAAGCAAAGGTTGAATCTTTTTTCTTCTTTCCTTGAATGATAAAGTAGAAAAGAGCTAACACAGTTAGAAGAAAAAGCAAAAGTAATAATGGAAAGAAGAATAAGAAGCCTAAATTAAATCAGCCGACAGCCTAATTTTAAAGTGAGAGACTCTTAATAGGGAAATATATAGCTGCAGTATCTCTAAAACAAAAAGTACTACTTTTGACTCCATATTTTTCTTATCTGGGAAATCTATTGATATCTGGATTACTAGCCTGTTTCTGCTATACCTTTCCCCCTGGAATAGGCTGCCTATATAAAAATTTACAAATAAAAATGCTACAAAAATAATCAATGAGAAGCTGTAAACTTAATCTTTCAAATTTTTATTAATCAAGAATTTCTTATACTGCCTTATGATACATTGCTTTTTCAAGCTGTGCATTACAAAAGCATTCTTCTGAATTGAGAAAAAAAATCACATAAAATAAATGCCATGTTGCTATAGTGATTTATAAATGCCCATGAAATGGGCATGCTTTAGAAAATTAATTACCAAAATGGATCATTTATTGGACCCATTCACAGTGAGGTGTTTCCAAAGAGACACTATTCACAGCTAAGCAAGAAAAGAAAATCATGTTTCCATTGTAGTACCACACTTAAATAACTACACGTGAGAGTTTCATCTCCAAATAAGCACAGCTTATTTTTGCTTTTTGATATTTTTTTTTTCCTCTGTTCATCCATTACTTCTTTCCTATATTCACCCCAAGGCACCATGATTATCAAAACACAGGCTTGAGATAAATACACTAAATGTTTATGTTTGACATTATGATGCCTTACCAGGTTTCATCAGTCATATCATGTAATATAGAGTAATGCAGTCTGATTGATGGAACTCACAGGGACTCATCACCTTTCATGTGTTTGCCGAAGAATTTAAAGGTATCACACAACGTTTGGACAGAATTCAAAGAGCTACTATATGAAAGAAAGATTTTGTTATTTTATTTTTCCATGAAGATGGGGGGTGGGTGGGTGTTTTTTTTTTTTACCCTTTGGGAGATTTCTTTTTTTAAATACTTTTCTTGAGATTGCATGCATCATACAACTTTTAGTCTCCATTGGGAAATCTATGTTAAATAATTTCAGCTTTAGACTGAAGTCAACAGTAAAGCATAGATGTCTCATTATAGCTTTATTATTTGGCTGCAGATTAGTACTTACACTGCAAAAAGCCTTTTAGGGATACAGAAATTGGGATATGAGGTTATTCTGTCTAAGCCTTTCAGAAATACTAATTCGTTTAGAAATCTAATACTCTCCCCTTCATTCTGCAGGGTAATATTTTTCTTCTCTAACAAGGTAATGGAAGGGTTAACCTAAAGTGGACCCTAGGGATTTAAAGCATAAAATTTTGAAACTAGCCTTTTGTAGCCTCATTGTAAGATAGTTTACTAATGAAATGTGATTTCAAGACGACTATCCAGAGATTAGAAAGAATGATCCCAACCTCATTAAATTACTTTTGAATAAACACAAAAGAAGACAATAACTTTCAAGTGATTTTAAGAAGTAAATTACTCTTTCATATTACAATTACAAAAGACCTTAACATGTTTTTCTAAAGAAACTGCCCAAAATGTTGGACATTAGGCTATTTAATGGAACATAACTTGTATTTAACTTCATGACCTAAATAACAACACTTAGAACTTGATAAATACTCCAATATGCTTTTTTTTTTTTTAAATATATTTAAATGCTGGCTAAATCTTTCTTTTTTGTGTGTGTGTGTGTGTCTGCACGCACATGCAAGTAATTCAAGTCAATGTTTTTATTGTTTTTACCCTAAAATAATTTTTCTAGTTCAATGAAAGAATTTCTTTGAAAATTCAATCCTAACTCTTGTTTATTTTTCACTTTAGCCACAGAAGGAAAATCAATTACTTGTATAAACAACTCTAGTAGTGAGATTTTCTGGTAGGACTCAACAGGTATACAGTAATCCCTGAAACTCAGATGAATATATCAAAGCAGCATTAACTTAGGTTTTCCTAGCCTTTACTTTTTTTTTTTTTTTTTAATTTGGGCAGGGGAGCTTAATGTAAATACACATACAGTTAGGTGTATTTCTACAATTAAGGGGAAAATCCTATTCTTTTCACAAGGAACAATCTTATATCCCATGCTAAGCATCACTGAATAGATTTTCATTAGTTTTCCTGCTTTCTATACCACTGATGTCAACAGGTGCTGTAGGAACTCAAGCCACTTTGAAGTTAAAGACAGCTAGGCAGTGCTTTGCTTTTGAAGTCTGATGAAAAAAATTACCATGACATCTACAACTTATTATTACATTTCTTAATGGCAGGAAATCTAATCCTCAGTGCCATTTGTAAGATGTTTTATTTTTTAACTTATGATAGATGCTTTGAAATCTCCCGTGTCTATTGTATGTTTAAGATTAACTTTCTCAGCATTTAATATTCTGATCAAGTTTGAACCTTAGCAGGATTAAGTATGGTTCTCTTTTTTCTTCTTGTGTTATTCCAGTTATTGTCTTAGGTTTCACTATGGCAAAATTCTTGTACAACTACTATCTATGAAGAATTGCTGCTGACTCAACAGAACACTGATGTCTCCCTCTCCTAACCCCAAATTTGGTAAACCGGTACAATTTAGTGTATTATATTGGATACTGCAACATCACTAAACTGCTTGCTTGTAAAAGCCTTTTCTTTTGGTTTAGCAGTATTAAAACAGGTTGCTTGGCTAGAGAAGATAGACAGAGGTCAGATAGGAATGAAAGGGGAAGAAAAGTTATCCCACATATACTGGCAAGCAACAATCTTGAGGCTTATGAACAAAGTTCAGTCATAGCTTGACTCTCAACTTCCTGAATCTATTTTAATGCTATATCTGGCATTACATGGAAGTAGAACTACCTAATATATTTTTTAAAAGGCTTAAAGTTGCTAGTAATGCATTTCTTAGTTTTACAGACCAGAAAGGGATAACTTACCATAATCATCATAAACCAGAACCGTCTTATACTTTCTACACAGCTGAACTTTCAAACTAGTAGGTTGATTTCAAACTCTGTAAGGCAGGCATCCCCAGATACAGACTTACCTAAAGCTAAACACCCCTGACTGGTGAAACAATTCAAGCTTTGCATCTTATTCTAGATTATGAGTGGATAGCTCAAGTCCAGCCTAAGTTCAGATGGGATTTTATTAAGCAAAGTTAAAGCATTTATCTAAAACGAACTTAGGTAACTGATTTGTTTTTTTATAAGCTAACACATTTCTAATACCAAATGAGTTACTGAGATATATATGTATGTAATGATGACAGTAACATACCAATTAAAATTATTTTTCTTTTTTTATTGAACAAATGTTCAAGTCAAGACAAGGTTTCTACTTACTACACTTCAGCTGAGCCTCCTAAAGTAAAGCAGAGTACATGCCCTTAATTTACACAGAAGTTAGATTTGATACTTCACATACAGAAAAAACAAAGGTCATAGTATATAACAAGAGTTTTTATCATTGTAAAGGGGCATTACCTGAACAAATGGTATAGGTATCACAAAACAATGCTTAATGGTAACATATAAAGGCCAAATCACTGTGGTAAGAGTGATTTGTACCATACTTGGTCCTGCAGAGTTTAAATTCAAATCTGCCTTTAGAGGAATTGATTTTTAGATTATGCAGTATCTTTTGGTTGCTCAAGCTATCACTGTTGATGAGAAGACTTTTTCCTCTCTAGCAGATGAAAATTTTGTAAAGACGGATAGATTATTACTGAGAGTACTTAAAAAAAAAAAAAAAGTTTACATCCATTTAGAAACCTTATTATTACCGTACCTGTTACTTTCAGTCTGTCAGCTCCAATGACAATCTCATCTTCATCTGCAGAAAACAACACTTTTCCACCTTCACTTGCCCTCACTTCAAATCTCTTACACTGGGCCTCCACAGCATCAGCTCCTGAAATCAAGGAAGTGAATGTTTCATCTAAGATACGTTGTAAGAATAAAAGTAATCATCAGCATAGATGGAATATCTAAAACATATCGAATACATGAGGGTTTTATAGAATATTTGACTTTCTGTAAGCCTGGTAGATAATTTGTATTATAAAATATTGTTAAATTAATTTACAGAGTAACTACTTCACTATTGCATATCAGGACAGAATTTAAAGTAACTATGGAAAACATTTATTTCAGTGTCATGTGTGGAAGTCAACACAAGAATTTAGAATGCACTTAAACTCTCAGATCTTGAAATGCCAATTCAGACAGAGCTTTCTGGGGTTTGCTCAGCTTAAATTGCAGTTTCTTGCCAATGGAAAAAAAGATAACATATGAGCCTATTCCATAAAGACCAACAAATCAACACAGCAGAAAAGGGTATTTTTCATTCAGTTCTACTGCAAACTTGAACATCAGGATAACAAAACAAAAAAAACCACCAAAACAAATAAAAAAGATGAACTGAGATATCACAATTTATCTCATATTCTATGAAACAAAACTCCCAAATGCCTTAAAGCTCTAAAACCCTAAAATAATTCTGAAATCAAACAGACCTATGGAATTGCATCTAACAATGCAATAAAAAAGGTTACAGATGCAGAAATTGAAAAGCATAATAAATTTAACATTTAACATTAATTTACTATGCTTTTTAATTTACAGTCTTATTCTTATTCTTCAGTGTTTTGTCTGCTAAAATGTTACTGAAAATTTTTATTTTATTTTATTTTATTAATAAGTGAAAGCAAAACCTTAGTTCTGAAAATGGTGTTGAAAAGCAATGAATTGCATATAGCACAACCAGCTGTAAGACAAATTACAAGATTTCAGGGAATAATTATCTGACAATTTTCTCATTGATCCCTAATTAGATTTCTCATGTACACCTGGAATGACCCATCAATCTATATGGGTAAAAATTATGGGGAAGGCATTATGGGCAAAGAAATCCATGTATGTCATTTCAGTTTATCAGTCTGGCTTATAGGTTTGTAAAAAACCACCTGCTTCCATAATGTGGAAGTTTTCAGTTTAATATGCAAATGCACATTATCAAAATATGTAATAACAAATATAAAAGCTGTGATAACTAATTTTGGATAAAGAATTGCCATAGCAGCCCTTAATTTGCAGAATAAGCTATAAAATCAAAACATCAATTCCTCTTGCTTTCAGATGAACTTACATTTGTACTGTGAAAAATTTCAGGTTATTTTTAATTCATGAATGTAAAAAGAAAATTAAAAGGAATTGTAAAAATACTTGTGATGCCCCATTTTCTTGAAGTTAGGCATGTTTATTCTGTTATAAAAGACTAAAATTCTCCCTCTCTCTCTGCAATTGAACTTTATTTTAAATGTGATAATCAGGTGGTTGGTTTTGTTTTGAAAAAGTACTAAGTTTTTGTAAAGACAGACAGGAACAGATTTCAGATAACCTAATGTTAGCCATGGGATAAATGCTACATCTCACAAACATGCCAGGATGCTCACTAATAAAAGGTATAACAAAATCTAATTGTCCATCAGCACAAATGTAATAACAATATATATTCACACATAGCTGTCTTACCAAATTCATCCATTATTCTTAAATACTTTCCAAAGGTCAGTGATGGTATCCCTGACAGTGTTGCCCCCAGGCACATCTGAATTATTTGTTTAAAACGGTAGCATTTAGCTAGCGATGCATGCTAGCAATACAGTTGGGAAGGATACTCCATTCTTTTGCACCATCACAGGTAAAGATATCTTTTTAAAAAGCTGTTAATGCATATTTATTTGTTATATGAATGCTTATTTTATGAAACCCAGTGAAATCTAGGCATTAGAGTTCAACAGACTGTTGTGTATCTGTCCAGTGCCAGAAACACAAGAGGAAATTAGGTCAATTTATCAATTTTTTCAGTTTTACTGATTAGTTTGCAAATATGTTAAGCTTACATGTTGTTTTGCAAAACAAATCCACTGCAAAATAAATCATACTGTTGTTGACTATACCCAGTTACTCTGTGAAATTGGAATAACCACATAACTCAGATTACTGTAAGAACTGTAATAAAACAGATGATAATACTATTTAATTCATTTAGAAGAGGGAGAAAAAATAATAAATTATAGACTGGTTTAAAATACTTGCAGAAATTATAGATGACCTTTTATAGATGACTTCTGAAGATTGTATGATCCACTGAGAATTTACACACAGCCATGATTCAATGTTCAAAATGATTCATAATAGTCATGAGCAAACACTGTTCACAATAGTAAAACCAAGGTGTAATGCCCTTTAGATAGTACTACACAAAAATGTTTATTCTAGAATGCTTCTCATGGTTCAGAATGAGAAGACCTGCAGAGGCTAAAAAGATCAATGCTTTCTTGTTGAATATAAGTGCTTCACAGAAACCTTGTGGTTTGAAGGAAGATGTCTGAGATAACATCAAAGTTGTTACTAAAATTATTGATGACAAAATAAGTGGTAGCTTCATATTTGAAATAAGAACGCATGCTGCTGTTTGGCCATTTTATTATTGTTGGAAGAACAGTTGTGCCCTCTCTGTGTACCACTGATATTTTCCCACTGTTTTCTCTGGAGGGGAAAAAAACAGGCCTGTTACTAAGTTGTTTAGGTTGCCCTAATAAAATCGTACGCTGAAAGGTTCAAAATCAATCAGCCTTACTATGGTAAACAGAGAAACCATTTACATTTTACATAAGCCTTTTACAATGTCTAGCTTTTATTCATCGATACATATTTTCTTACTGTTTCTGTTGAAATTTTCTTCAGAATTGAAAAAAATTCTGATGCTATTGAAACATTCCATTTTGATGCACTTTTGGAATAGTGTTGACTTTTGGTTTGGAAATGTTTGTTCTTCATTTTGAAATATTTAAAAGGCATACAATTAAAAAGCATTAATTTAATGCAAAATTTATGAAAGCTATATTAAAATTGACCTAAAATATATTCCTTTGAGGAAAACCTGGAGGCAACAATTTTTCCTGTTTTAGTAACAAGTTTGATTTCAAAACCTCAAAGCCCTTCTGGAATTGTATACTTATTTTTCTGCACAAGTCTATTTTTCAATAATTTTTTAAATTTCATTCTATTCTAAGATGGAATGTATTACACTTCATGAGGGCTGCATTTTGAATCATTATTGGAAAGCAGAAGTAAGAATTCTGTTGTAGAAGTAAATTTCAGATAACAAGAAATATGAGTTGTATTTTAAAACAATAAGCTCATGGTTTCAGGTTGCTTAACAACTACCATAATGTTCTATGTGAAACTCTTGCGCACCAGAACATATTATCAAATATAGCACTTGATAGACTATCACAATAATCACACATTTTAATGTCTTTAAACACCACTATATACAAAGCATGGTATCCTTATTTCCCCCATTTTGCAGAAGGAAAAGACGTTGCATGAGACATAAGGGTACCACCAGTCTCTAAAATGCAGACAGTATTCCGCACTTCCTACCAGTAAGTGCATTCATGGTGCTCAGTATCTGGTCCCCCTGCACGTGCCGGACTGGTGTGCCTGCTGGGCACCCTGCCTGAGTGCTTGCATTTCTTTTAGAGAGAAACTGCAGCAAGGAGTAGGAGGAAGAGCCCTTGAGTCTCACTTCAACATTCAGAGAGCATGCTTCAGTCAAGTTTTGGGGAAACAATCTGAGGACAAAAAGCTGAAAATCTCTCCTCCAACATCTAGATAAAGGTCAGTCAGGATATTTGTGCTGTAACAGATAATAAACCCAGGTAGACTGAGTACATTCTGCTTTACGTGAAGCATTGTCTGGAGAGCTGTTTGTAAAAATACCATGCTCATTTATGGAGACAGGTAATGAAAACATAGCAAAGGGGACAAAATTTTTAGTAGGGCCTGTTGTGATATGACAAGGGGTAATGGTTTTAAACTAAAAGAGTGTAGATTTAGACTAGATATAAGGAAGAAATTTTTTACGTTGAGGGTGGTGAAACACTGGCACAGGTTTCCCAGAGAGGTGGTGGATGCCCCATCCCTGGAAACATTCAAGGTCAGGTTGGACGGGGCTCTGAGCAACCTGACCTAGTGAAAGACATCCCTGCTCATTGCAGGGGGGGTTGGACTAGATGACCTTTAAAGGTCCCTTCCAACCCAAACTGTTCTATGATTCTATGACAAACAAAACACTCCACTCAACTGATTAGAAAAAAAATAATACAATACAACCAGTGTATATTGTCATGGCCCAGGAGACTTGTTTTTTAACAGTGATGGTTTGCAAAGTGAGGAGTCCACCACAATGTGCTGCCTGCCTGACAGCAGCAACATCCTGCAGGGACAGGAAAGCAAAGCTGAAAAAGGATGGAAGGTTGGACCTGTCCTTGTCCTGCAACCATAGTTACGGGTCAGGAAACCAAAGGATAATCACAAATAACTTATTACTAACTAGTTTCATCTTTATTTAAGAGCTGATGAGCGTTTAGCTACCTAAAAGTGGCATTATAAGTACTGTGATGCTGTTAATTTACACACATGAAAGTTGTTAGCTCTTCAAAGAAAAGGGACTAACAGAAAACGTGAGAGAAATCAAAGAGAAGAAAGACCTGCCACATTCTTACTCATTATATATCACTGCAAATTGACAGCCCGTGTTTCAATAACTGCCTTTTAAAACTTGTGATGTATTTAGGATAATATAGCTTTTCATGAAGAATGACTCAGAAGGACGATCTGTAGCTTCTACAAAGAAATGCATGTATTTTAGATGCTCAGCATTTGTCTTTCTTCAGCATCATATTGTATAAAAGTACACCTAGAATTCAGCCAGTCCAAAATATCATTACAGGATATAACTCTGCTTTTGTATGCTAAAAGAAATGGTCTTTTACTTACGTTGCACTCAGGACTTAACAATGCATCACCTAGTATTACTCACCTATTGCTGAAACAGTG